CCGCAAAATAAATAAATAAATAAATAACACCAAACTCGCTGCTGTTGAGTCAGATCCGACTCCTTGGGTTTTTGAGCCTGTATCACTACAAAAGTAGTGCCCAATCTTCCTTCTGAGGAGTGGCTGGTGGGTTTGAACCACCAGCCTTCTGATTAGCAGTAAAATGCCTTAGGCACTACGCCTATAATCATGAGTATTATCTGTGAGTTCTGTGTGGCCACTGCCATGAATTATCGAACCCAGCAGAGAAGCAGTGAGTGCTGTGGGAGGGACGGTTGGTGTCAGAAAAGTAAAAAGGATGGAGGGTGGCAGTATGCCTGTCCCCCTAGGAATCAGCTTTAGGCTGCTGATGGTGACTCTGTTCCCCCTGATGAGGCTGGAGGAGGTCAGAGGAAGATGCTGCCCCCATGCGCCTTCTGCAAGGATACTGTTAGCTCTAGATTTTCCCAGATATTCTTCATCAAGTTAAGGACGCTGCCCTCTATTCCTATTTTTCTGAAAGGCTGTACCATGAATGATGCTGAACTGTGTTAGATGCCTTCTCTGCATCTGCAGATGTGACTTTTTGCCTCGTTAGCCTATTAATATGCTGGACTACACTCACCGATTTTCAATACTGAGCCAGTCTTGCATTCTTGAAATAAAGCCTATTTTGTCAAAGTGTATAGTTATCTTCATATATTGCTAAATTCTATTTTGTTGGCAATTTTGCATGCAAATTCATAAGGGATATTGGTCTTTGTTTTTTTGTACTGTCTTTGTCAGGTTTTGGCATAGAGTAATACTAACTCTATAAAATGAACAAAATTCTATATCCTTGCTGATGACTGGTTCCTCTACCATTTGTCAAGAGAGTAGTGTTGAAGTCTCCAGCTACAACTGTACAATTGTCTGCTTCTCATTTTGGTTGTATCAGATTCTACTTCATACATTTTATAGCTCTGTTGTTTGGTACATATACATTTAGGATTGCTATGTCTTCTTGGTGGACTGACCCTCTCATTATGTAATGTTCCTCTCTGTCTCTGCTGATTTTCCTTGCTCTAAAGTTCTTTATCTGATGTTAATAGAGCCACTCCTGCTTTGCTTTGATTAATGTTTGTATGATGATGAAAATGCAAGCCACAGACTGAGAGAAGACATTTGCATATTACATATCTGATAAAGTATCTTCACCTAGACCATATAAAGAACTCTCAAAGCTCGGTAAGAAGAAAACAAACAAGTTTAAAAATTACTTCAAAAGATCTGAACAGCCACTTCACCCAACAAGATTATGGATGGCAAATAAGCACATGAAAATATGCTTAACATCATTAGTCATTAGCAAATACAAATTAAAACCGCAATGAGATACCACCACACATCTCACAGGACGTCTGAAATTCAGACTGCTCGTGTCCAGCACTTAAGAGAATGTGGAGAAATGAACTCATGCACTGCTGGGGAGAACGTAACACAGTAAACCAGTCTGACAATTTCTTAAATGAATTAAGCATACACTTACCATATATTCTACTCCGGGGAATCTGCCCAAGAGAAATGAACGCATACATATCCACACAAACATCTGTAGGTGAATACTCATTGCAGCTTTGTTTCTAATAGGTAGAAACTGGGGGGAGGGATGGTCTATCAATAGCTGAATTGATTAAAAAGAAGGTGATATATCTATACACTGGAATGAGACCCAGCAATACAAAGGAATGAACTACTGTTAAACACAACATGGCTGAAATTCAAAATTATTATGCTGAGTAGAAATCTGATGGAAAAACAGGACACACTTCACAATTCCATTTATACGAAATTCGGAAAATGCAAACTAGTCTACAGTGACAGCAAGCAGATCAACAGTTGCTTGGGGATGAAAGCAGGGTGGCAGGTGAGGCAATAGGAAATAATTACTAAGGGACATGAGGAAATTTTGGGGGTGATAGATACATTCAATAACATGATTGTGATGCTGGTGTGCACATATAACAAAACTTACTACACTGAACATTTTATATATTTGCAGTTTATTGCATGTCAATTACGTATCAGTGAAACCTCAAATCCCCTTTAAAAAACAAAACTATAGAACCAAAAAATGCAATTACTAAAACTAAGAACTCCTTAATGGATTTAGCAGAAAACTGGACAGTGCTGAAGAGAGGATTAGTGGATGAAGAAGTTAGACTCACAGAAAATATTCTAAGGGAAGCCAAGAAAGCAGTAAGGATGGCAAGCAGAGAAAAGACCATAAAAAACACACAAGTGTCTGACACATAGCAAAGTCCCAAGAAAAATGTGCGGCTGAGCAGAGGGGGAAGGATTGGCTGTGAATGGGGTTGTTGTTAGATGCCGTCAATCATCTCTGACTCACAGCAACCCTATGCACAGCAGAATGAAACACCGCCCGGTCCCACACCAGCTCCATGATCCCTGCTATACTTGAACCTATCGCCGTAGCCACTGTGTCAATCCATCTCATTGAAGTTCTTCCCCTCTTTTATCGACCCTCTACCTTACTAAGCATGACATCCTTCTCCAGGGAATGGCCCCTTCTCACAACATAAGCAAAGTAGGTAAGACAAGTCTGGCCATTCTTGCTTCCAAGGAACATTCCGGCTGCACTTCCTCCAGGACAAATCTGTTATTTCTTTTAGCAGTCCATGGTACTTTCAGCATTCTTCACTAGCACCACAACTCAAAAGCATCAATTCTTCCTTATTCATTGTCCACCTCTTACATGCATATGAGGCGATTGAAAATATCATGGCTTGTGTCAGGTGCACCTTAGTCCTCAAGGAGACATCTTTGCTCCTCAGCACTTTAAAGAGATCCTTGCAGCCGACTTGGCCGGTGCTATACGTTGTCTGCTGTCCTGACTGCTGCTTCCATTGGTGTTGATTGTAGAACCAAGCAATTTGAAGTCTTTCAAGTTTTCTGAC